CAGCAGAGCCCAACCAGCAGCCCGAGGAGGCAGAGGCATCAGTCTCTCCAGTATCTTTATGATGAGAAATGACATCGGTCTCCCAGCCGCACACAGCAGCCACGTGGGGTCAGCCTCCGGAGGGCCCCTTCCTGCCCGGCACTGGCTGCCCATCAAAACATCTCCCAGACCGCTGCCACCGTGCTCTGCCCGAAGATGAAGGTGCCAACCAGCACAGAGACCACTCCCCAGACCTCCAAGCAGCACCTGCCAAATCAGTAAACCCATATCAGCGCTTTTCTGGATTATTACACAAATAAGCCATGCACACACAGAAAATTCACTATGTAAAGCCCAGTACGGGGTCATCAATTTGGAAAAAAGAAAAATTCAGAATATTCCCAATTACCTGTAGGGATGGGCTTCCAAGACAATGGGAAGCAAAGTGCAAAGTACCCAGGCAATTTTTTTTTTTTTTTTTGGAGGTAGAGTCTCGTTCTGTTGCCTAGGCTGGAGCGCAGTGGCACGATCTCAGCTCACTGCAACCTCTGCCTCTTGGGTTCAAGCAATTCTGCCTCAGCCTCCCAAATAACTGGGACTACAGGCACGCACCATGACACTGGGCCAATTTTTGTATTTTTAGTAGAGATGGAGTTTCACCATGTTTGCTAGGCTGGTCTCAAACTCCTGACCTCAAGTGATTCGCCCTCCTCGGCTTCCCAGAGTGCTGGAATTACAGGTGGGAGCCACCATTCCTGGCCCCAGGCAATTTTTAAAAGCCCTCCGATCCCACCTGTTATTTCATAACCCATTTCTCCCCAGTATTTTATCAAATAAAAAGACATGGGGGCCAGGCACGGTGGCACCCACCTATAATCCCAGCACTTTGGGAGGCTGAGGCGGACGGATGCACCTGAAGTCATGAGTTCAAGACCAGCCTGGCCAACATGGTGAAACCCCATCTCTACTAAAAATAGAAATAAAAAATTAGCCAGGCATGGTGGCAGGCACCTGTATTCCCAGCTACTTGGGAGACTGAGGCAGGAGAATTGCTTGAACCCAGGAGGCAGAGGTTGCAGTGAGCCGAGATTGCATCACTGCACTCCAGCCTGGAGGACAGAGCAAGACTCCATCTCAAAAAAAGAAAAAGACATGGAGAGAGGGGAGACACTGCTTTGAAAGTCCCCCCACCCTCCTCCCTTTCTGCTCCTCATCCTCTGATGAAACCCTATGAAAGTGAAGGAGAAGACGCAAACTCTTAAGTCACACACCATCTCAGAGGAGTAGGGGATGAGGACGCAGGAGGCAGAGGTGGCTGGGACCGGCAGCCACTGAGGCCACATTTGTGAGCTTCGTAATGTAACCAGAGACGGGGTAGACAAGGAGGTCAGAGCAATAACAAGATTCCCACAAAATGGCAGGGCCGCCAGAGGTATTTCTGGCCCCACTAACAAAGGCCAGAAAGATGGGCTGTCATGGAAGGAACATTTCTAACCAAGCAGCATCTCAGCACGGCTGTTCAGCGCCATAAACATCCGTTCATCTGTGCCGGCACTGTGAGGCCAATGTGCCCGTGGGCTGCGGCACTCCTGCAACAGTGCTGATGTAGTAGAAGGACTTAAAGCAGTTTTAGCAATAAAAATATCTTGAAAGCTCATCAGTAAAAACTGTTGTGAGCTCAGATCAAGGGAGAAAACAAAAGCACGAAGACTCCAAACAGCGCCCCAGGGAATGAGCAGCTTAGTGGGTTGCCAGACATTGGGAGGCTAGTTCTAAACCCAAGGCAGGTTTAGAAACATCCAGAAAAACTGCTCTCAATCCAGAAGAAACCAGGCCAGGCCTGCTCCTTTGCAAAAACCAAGCATGGGCTCAATGGGGCTAGAGGGACGGGGGCTAGAGGGGAACAGACCTACAGCTGGGCCCCAAGTTCACGGTTGCTGTCATTTAACATTATCTGTGGTGGGGTGAAGGGTGGCCCCCAAAATTCATGTCCACCTGGAACCTGTGCTGGCGAGCGTATCTGGAAACTGGGTTTTGCAGATGTAATTAAGTGAAAGATCTTGACAGAAGATGCAACCTAGATTTAGGGTGGACCCTAAATCCAAGAGTAGGTATCCTTATAAAAGAAAGGCAGCCAGGTGTGGTGGTGGGCGTCTGTGGGCCCAGCTCCTGCGGGAGGCTGAGGCAGGAAGATCGCTTGAGCCCAGGAGGTTGAGGCTGTAGTGAGCCATGATTACACCACTGCACTCCAGCCTGAGCAACAGAGCAAGACTCTGTCTCAAAAAGTAAAATAAGTAAAAGCAGAGGGATATTTGAGACCCAGAGACACAGGGAGAAAGCTAGATAAAGACAGAGGCAGAGACTGGAGTGATGTAGCCACAGGCCAAGGAGCACCTGGGGCCACCAGAAGCTGAGGAGCCTTCAGAGTCCAGCCCTGCCAACACCTTGATTTCACACTCCTGGCTCCAGAACCGGGAAAAAAAATCATTTCTGTGGCCTGAAGCCTCCCCACCAGGTCCCAATTTGTGGTAATTTGTTACAATGACACCAGAAAACTAATACCTCATCTCTTTACCTGTCTCAGCCTCAGTTTCCACATCTGTGGAATGGGAGGGAGTCACCCGGACCCTCAGGCTCCCCAGGGGCAGCTGAGGAAAAGCCCGTCATTCATGTGCACGTCATCCTCTTCAGTGGGTCAGACTCAGCTGCCCAGTGGCAAAGCAGAGAGGCTCAGTTGTGTCTGATCCACAGGCCCGCTCAGGGATAAATATTTGTCAGATAAAGGAAAGATCCAAATTCTCTGGTCTCAACAGCACTGTATGCCAGGCAGGTGGGTTAGCACGGGGCCTGGGAGCCAGGGGCCTGAGTTGCATCCTAGTTCTGTCCTCACTAGCCTCCTGGCCCGCCTCCTCATCTGTAGGATGGAGACATCCGGGTATGGTGGGGAGGTGAATATGTAAAAGGACCTAGCACAGTGCCTAGCAGAGGAGCCTCGGAACGGCAGCCCACTGCTGTGATAGAACATGTTGTCCTGGTGTCTGGCCGGCCACAGGGTCTCTCTAACTCAGCCTGCACCCTGATCCTGCCCTGGGTCCGAGCCAGGTAGCAAAGGAGGGTACAGATGCACCACTAGGTGCTTCCAGAGGCTGGAATCTACATGAAATCCCAACTACAGACCCTCAAAGCAGAAGGGAAAGCCCTTGCAGGACCCGGCATCACTGGCCTGGGCTCCTGTCCTGGCTCAGATGCCCTCATAGTGGGTGGACAGAGACTCTCTTCCTGTGACCTGCAGATTTCTCATCTGCAGGATGCGGAGGATGGGAAATAGGAAGTCCAGGGTCCCCTGAAGCATTCTTACTCTGATCTGGGGCACGCCCAGGTTGCCACTTCATCTTAGGGACACTTACTTGACTCTTGGTCCTATAGGCTCGATGCCCATTGCGCAGATGAGGCACAAACCTGCAAAAAAGACAGGGTCACCCTCAGCTCTTCGTTATCAAACCCAAAGCAACAAAGAGGTCCCGGGAGAAGTCCTCAGGGACCCAGGAGGTCAGCAAGGCCTCTGCCCACAGGTGCCCCTGGCTCAGGCCCCCTGGAGAGGCAACGCGGTGGAACTGGAAGGATGGGGCTGGAGTCCCAGCTCAACATGCCTTGTGACTCAGCCAGAGGTCTGGCAACAACTGGCTTCCCAGAGCCCCGTGTTTCAGGCAACCTTGACAACATGCCCTCCACAGCAGAGTCTGTGAGGAGATGGTGAGAGTCCATGCCTGACGCCCAGGAAGGGCTCAGCAACTGGCAGCTACCATTATTACTATTATTATTTTTTTTTTTTTGAGACAGAGTCTCACTCTGTGGCCAGGCTGGAGTGCAGTGGTACCATCTCAGCCCACTGCAACCTCCACCTCCCGGGTTCAAACGATTCTCACGCCTCAGCCTCCTGAGTAGCTGGGACTATAGGCACATGCCACCACGCCCAGCTAATATTTGTATTTTTAGTAGAGACGGGGTTTCACTATGTTGGCCAGGATGGTCTCAACCTCGACCTCGTGATCTTCCCGCCTCAGCCTCTCAAACTGCTGGGATTACAGGCGTGAGCCACTGCACCCAACCTTTTTTTCTTTTTCTTTTTTTTTTAATAGGTCTGCTAGGATTCAGGGCCATGTAGCTCGACCTAAGGTTCCCAAAGAATCCTCTCTTATCCCAAACCTGTCCTGGGCAGTCCTTCCCAGCACAGGAAACAGCCAGTGCTGCAACTGGCCACCTGATCACAGAACCAGAACTTAATCCAGCAGCCCAGACCAGGGAGTGTGACGGAGGAGCCACGTGGCCACACCCTCACCTCTGAGAAGCTCCACCCGGAACTGGAGTGAGCAGCAGTGTGGCCACACCCTCAGCCCTGAAAGCCCCGCCCAGAGCCTGAGGGAGGGGCTGTGTGACCACACTCTCACCTCTGAAAGCCCCACCCAGAGCTGAGGGAGGAACTGCATGGCCACACCCCTCATCTCTGAAAGCTCCAAAGCCTGAGGGAGGAGCCGTGTGGCCACACCCCTCACCTATGAAAGCCCCGCCCAGAGCCGAGAGGAGCTGTGTAGCCACACCCTCACCTCTGAAAGCCCCACCCCAAGCCCGAGGGAGAAGCCACACAGCCACACCCCTCACCTCTGAAAGCCTCACCCAGAGCCTGAGTGAGGAGCTGCATGGCCACGCCCTCACCTCTGAAAGTCCAGCCCACAACTGAGGGAGGAGCTGTGTAGCCACACCCCCATCAATGAAAGCTTTGTCCAGAGCGTGCAGGAGCAGTTGTATGGCTACACCCCTCACCTCTGAAAGTCCTGCCCAGAGTCGAGGAAGGAGCTTTGTAGCCACACCCTCACCTCTGAAAGCTCCACCCCAAGCCCAAGGGAGAATCCACGTGGCCACACCCCTCATTTCTTTGAAAGCTCCACCCAGAACCTGAGGGAGGAGCCACATGGCCACACCCCCACCTCTGAGAGCTCCGTGCAGAGCCAGGAGCAGAGTGGGTGGCTGTTCTCCTCTCCTCCATTCACTTTCGCAGTTTTTATCCCTTAATCCCAGTAGACCCCAATTTACAGGAGCTAGGGCAGGTACAGTTAGATTCTCAAGGGACTATATCAAAGACAACCCCTGAATCTTAACTCACCTGCTAAGAAACCCGCTTTTCATATTCCACACATCAGTTGGCCTCTGATAACCAAGGTTTCTCTGTGGCCCTCAATTCTTCCATCCCCCACCTCCGGACTATTGACAAAGTTGTCACCACCCACTTACCTGGGACCCTGAACAATGTTTCATTTCATTTCATTCCCTCATTCGAGTTTTGGAAAACCTCTAAGAGCTTCTCCTGTGCTTTCTGTAAGTTTCACCAATGAGCATCTACTTCTTGTCTGTTTGACATAAGGGCTGCATTAGGGTACTGGGGATACCTGGCTAAGGGTCGCCAAGCTCAATGTCTCCTTGACGGGGTTCCTCTCACGGCTGAATCACAGGGTCCACTCACGGAACACGCACTGAGGGACCCTCGACTGTGTACTCAGCATTTGCTGTGCGTGGGGCCCTGGAACAGCCCCCACTGCAGATGTGGGGTCTCTGTTCTGGGCTCCAGTGGGTCACTACAGTGTTCTCTCTTCCTCTGGAAGAAGCATCCCTCCAGCTTCTCCTTGCCGGCTTCCCCTCAGATAACGCTTGGGCTGTTCTGAATTGCAACAGCTCTCCATCGCACACTAACTTTGGGAAGGTTTCCTAAGAAACCATCCTTCGCAGAAACAGTGTTTGCCTCCAGGGCCTGGGGGCAGGAGGGGAGGGAGCCTTCACAGGGTGCCTTGAGCCACGTGACTTTCACATATATGATTTTCTTTTTTAATAAAACAAAATCCTTTACCAGGAGGTACCAGCAGTAGCATGGACAGAGCTGTATGATTGACCCTCGGCCCTGCTGCACACTAGCTGTGCCCCATGGGGAGTTCAGGGCCTCGGTCTTCCCATCTATGGAGTGGGATAATAAAGGTTCCTCTGTCAAGGATGTCCATCAGGAGCTGTATTAGTCTGCTTGCGTGCTGCTAATAAAGACCTACCAGGGACTAGGTAATGGTTTTGGTTTTTGTTTTTTGAGATGGAGTTTCACTTTTGTTGCCTAGGCTGGTGTGCAGTGGCACGATCTTGGCTCACCGCAACCTCTGCCTCCCGGGTTCAAGTGATTCTCCTGCCTAAGCCTCCCAAGTAGCTGGGATTGCAGGCATGCGCCACCATGGATGGCTAATTTTGTATTTTTAGTAGAGAAAGGGTTTCTCCATGTTGGTCAGGCTGGTCTCGAACTCCTGACCTCAGGTGATCTGCCTGCCTCAGCCTCCCAAAGTGCTGGGATTACAGGTGTGAGCCACTGTGCCCGGCCAGAGGCTAGGTAGTTTATAAAGGACAGAGGTTTAATGGACTCACAGTTCCACATGGCTTGGGAGGCCTCACAATCATGGCAAAAGGCGAATAAGGAGCAAAGTCATGTCTTACATGGTGGCAGGCAAGAGAGCTTGTGTGGGGGAAGTCCCATTTATAAAACCATTGGATCTCATGAGACTTATTCACTACCACGAGAACAGTAGGGGTGGAACCACCCCCTTGATTCAACTATCTCCACCTTGCCCTGCCCTTCACAGATGAGGATTATCACAGTGCAAGGTGAGACTTGGGTAGGAACACAGCCAAAGCGTGTCAGGAGCTACTGAGACGTTCAATGAGTGAGGGAAGGTATGTAAAGCCCAAGCCCTGTGCCTGGCTCAATAAACAGGGCACCTACATGGGGCCTTAATCCTACCTGTATGCGTCTCCCACCTTCCAGAACCTTGACCTCCAACACGGGGAGTCCCCACAGAGATGAACAGGGAAGAACGAGTGGGCAGAAAGCCTGGAAAGCAGGAGCCTCACCTGGGAAGATGAAGATGAAGAAGGAACTGATGCCTCCGATGATGCTGACGATCTCGCTGAGGTCGGGCATAAACAGCACCATGGCAAGCGTCACGGTGACCCACAGGACAGTCAGCGGCATCCGGACCCACAGCCCTGAGGGGTCAGCCAGGGCCCTGGGCCCCCATCCCCGCAAGCAGCTTCTCCTCCAGAAGTCCTGCATCACCGACCTGGAGGCCACGCCCAACACAGACAATGGGCATCCCAGGGGCACCAGCCTCCACCTGCCAGCTGCTCCCCCAGTCCTCCAGGAGTCCCCCCCCTCCGCCCACACCTGCCAGGGCTCCTGTTCCACAGTCAGGCATTAATTCCCCAGGAGATCTTGCCAACCCTCAGGGGTTCTGCCACCATCAGGCAGCCCATGGGACAAGGGATAAAGCACATGGTTCGAGTTCCAGTCCTAGCTGTGACACACACTCACGGGGTGACTTTGGGCAATCTACCTAAATCCTCTGTGCCTGTTTCCTCCTCTCTACAACTGGAGATAATGGTAGTCCGACAGCCGTGTAACCCACACCTGGGCACATGCTCAATCACAGCACACGTCAGCAGACCATGCTGAACGGTGCCCCCCCCACTGAGCCAGGCCTCACCTTCCCAGGAAGAGCACGATGGGGTAGACAGTTACAATGGAGACAGCAAAAAGGACCCGGGCCACAATGATGACCATGTCATTGCCTGGGTAGGACATCAAGATGTCAGCAGAAACTTCTGTCCCAAAGGTCAGGAAGCCATAAACCCCTGAAGGTGGGAAAGGACGAAAGCCAGAGAGTGAATTAGGAAAATGCTGTCCCCTCCCCTACCAACAGATGGATAGTGCCTGGCTTTACCACCTAGGATTTTGGCAGGGATAGCCCAACGCTTTCCTGTCCTAAGCCTATACATGACCCTGCTCCACGGATTCAAAACTCCTGCAGACAAATCCGCCACTTGTCCTTCTTTCAAATCGCTCACAGAGCTGGTGCACAGAGCTTACCCATAGCACGTGTGTTGACTAGAAGCACAGAACACTCTGAAAAATACAAACACACCTCCCATGCCCTGTCCATCTCACTCCTACGACATCTAAAGAAAGCAGCTAGCTGTGCACACATTTCCAAATGGGGAAAACCAAGAGCCAGGGCGTCAACAAATGCCTGGAATCACACAGCTAGTTTTCGTGGACTGAGGACTACAGCACCAGTCCCTTTGCCCCAACAGAGTGATGCTGCTTCCATCACCCCCAGTTGCCTGCCCTGTCCTGAGACATCTGCCTCTGACTAACAGCCACGTCCCTTTCACCTCTCTGCAAGCCCTTTCTGAGAGGTCCCATGGCCCTGGCAGTGAGAACGTGTGGAGGTGACACTGAATCGCTGAGTCTGACCCACGGATTACAGACTGATGGGACCTCCTCTGCTGGGGAGGGAGTCACCCAGCAAGTTTCCTGGGTAACCACAGTATCTTAGTCCATTTTCTGTTGCTTACAACAGAATACCTGAAACTGGGCATCTCATAAAGAAAAGAAATTTACTTCCTATAGTTATGAAGGCTGAGAAGTCCAAGACTGAGTGACCACACTGGGAAGGCCTTCTTGCCAATGGGGACTGTCTTCAGAGTTCCGAGGTGGCACACGGCATTGCACAGCAAGGAGGGTGAGCTCTGACTCAGCCCTCATTCCCTCTTCTTATAAAGCCACCAGTGCCATGTCCATGATAACCCATCAGTCCATTCACCCATTAATCCATTAAGCCTCTGCCCCATGCCTGCCTCTTATGTGGCCTCTTCGGCTGGACCTAGAAACTAAAATCGACACCAGTGAGACAATCAGATCAATGGGAGAAAAGCCTACAGATCTTATTAATTCTCCATGTACATGGGCTCTTAACAGAGTGATGTCTGAAGAAGCGGCCAAAATGAGATGCTTTTATGCTTTTGAGACAAAGAATAAATCTGACAAGGAATAACAGGCCAAAGGGGATCTGGTCAGGGGCAGTGAATTTCTAGGGGAGTCACTAGGAGATATATGGGGTGGGTATAAAACTAGCAGACGCTAAGGGCTAGTTCAGTAAGTGGATTTATTCAGGTCCATTGTAGCCAGAAATCCCGCTTCCAGTGATGATGACTATTTCCTCACCCTGGTATGGGGAGGGGGCCCCTCCCAGAGGAATTTTTATGGCTTGATTCCTGCAGAAAAAGTCAAGTCAGCTAGCCCTTTCTGAAACTCCAATTTCTCGTGTGTGTGTGTGTGTGTGTGTGTGTGTGTGTGTGTGTGTGTGTGTATAATTTTTTTTTTTTTTTTTTTGAGCTGGAGTCTCACTCTGTCATCCAGGCTGGATTGCAGTGGCACAATCTTGACTCACTGCAACCTCCACCTCCCATGTTCAAGCGATTCTCCTGCCTCAGCCTCCTGAGCAGCCGGGATTACAGGCACGTGTCACCATGCTCGGCTAAATTTTTGTATCTTTAGGAGAAATGGGGTTTCACTGTGTCAGCTAGGATGGTCTCGATCTCCTGACCTCGTGATCCACCTGCCTCAGCCTCCCACAGTGCTGGGATTACAAGCATGAGCCACCATGCCTGGTCTCCGATATTTTCAACCCGAAATAATCAATGTACCAGTTTGGCATACTGGCAGATGGCGCGTCCTTCAACCCTTCACCACAAATGGATTAATCTGTTCATGAGAGCAGCGTCCTCGTGACTCCACAGCTTCTTAAAGGCCTCACCTCTTGATACTGCCATACTGGCAATTACATTTCAACAGAAGTTTGGAGGGGACAAAGAATCAAACCACAGCATTCTGCCCCTGGTCCCCAAAACTCATATCCTCCTCACAGATAAATACCCCACAGTTATTCCAACCCCATGGCCCCAAAGTCTTCATGTGCTCCAGCACCAACTCAGAGGTCCAAACTCCAGCGTCTGCTCTGTGAGCCTGTGCAATCAAAAGCCATCTACTTCCAAGACACAGTGGCAGTGCAGGCAAAAGAAACATTCTCATCCCAGCAGACAGACCAAGGCCAAAGGCAAGGAGTAAAGGCTCCAAGCAAGTCTGAAACCCAGCAGGGCAGACGCTCAAGCTTCAAGCTGGAGGATCATCTGTTTTGACACCACGTGCCACCCCCTGGACACACTGGGGCAACTCCACTCCTACGGCTTTGCCGGGTACAGCCCACGTGTCTGTTCACAGGGGCTGGCGCTTGATGCCTGAAGCTTTTGCAGGCAGGTGTTGCACATTGCTGCTAACTTCGCGGTTTGTAGCCCCAGCGGCGGTCCCACTCTCACGACTCCACTAGGCACTGCCCTGGCAGAGATGCTCTGCAGTAGCTCCAACCTGCATTTCCACTTGGCACTGCCCTCATGGGGGCTCTGTAGAGTGGCTCTGCGGCTGTGACAAGTCTCTGCCTGGACTCCTACACTTTCCACAACATCCTTTTTTTTTTTTTTTTTGAGACAGGGTCTTGCCCTGTCACCCAGGCTCGAGGGCAGTGGCACAATCACAGCTCATTCCAGCCTTGACCTCCAGGGCTCAAGTGATCCTCCCGCCTCAGCCTCCTGAGTAGCTCGAACTACAGGCTCACACCACCATGTTCTGCTAATTTAAAAAAATGTTTTGTAGAGACAGGGTCTCACTACATTGGCCAGGCTGGTCTTGAATTCCTGGCCTCAAGCAGTCCTCTCACCTCAGCCTCCCAAAATGCTGGCATTACAGGCATGAGCCACCACACCTGGCCTGAACAACATCTTTTGAAATCTGGCCAGAGGCTGCCAAGTTTCTGTAGCTCTGGCTGCCAGGCTGCAGAATTAGCACCACGTGGATCCTGCCAAGGTTTACCACTTATACCTCTGGGGCTGCGGCACGAGCCAGACCAGAGGCCACTTGAGCCAAGGCTGGTGCAGTGAGGAACCCTGTGCCAGGGTCCAGGGAGCAGAGACATAAGGGCACCTAGGATAGCCTGTGGAGGCACTCTGGGTCTGTCCCCAGAACCATCCTGCCCTGGAGGCCCCTGAGCCTGCGATGGGAGGGGCAGCCTCTAAGATCTCTGAAATGCCTTCAGGGTCTTTCTTCCATTCTCTAGATAATCCTTTCTCTCTGTGCTAATCTCCTTAGCAAAAGGTCTCAGGGCCATAACCTTGGTTTCCTATCCAGAACACGCACTGCACTCTACACGGCCAGGCTGAAAGAGTTCCAGATCTTGCTGCTTTGCTTCTCTTTTGATGATCAGTTCCCTCTTCAAGTCATTTTTTGCCTGTCCCAGCATAACGTGAGCAGCTAAGAATAGCCATGCAGCATCGTGAATGCTCTGCTACTTGATATCTCTTCTGCCAGACACCCTAGTTCGTCCTTTTTTGCCGGGGGAGACAGTCTCTTTCTCGTTGCCCAGGTTGGAGTGCAGTGGCACGATCTTGGCTCACTGCAACCTCCCCCTCCCAGGTTCAAGTGATTCTCCTGCCTCAACTTCCCGAGTAGCTGGGATTACAGGTGCCCACCACCATGCCCAACTAATTTTTTGTATTTTTAATAGAAATAGGGTTTTACCATGTTGGACAGGCTGATCTCAAAATCCTGACCTCAAGTGATCCACCTGCCTCGGCCTCCCAAAGTGCTGGGATAACAGGCATGAGCCGCGGCACCCGGCCAGTTCTTCCCTTTCAAGTTCAGCCTTCCACAAAGCCCTCGGGCATGGACACGGTTCAGCCAAGTTATTTACCAGTTTCTAACAGGTTTGGCCTTTACTCCAGCTTCCAAACCCTTGTTCCTTGGTTCCGTCTGAAACCTCCTCAGAATAGCCTTTACTATCCATGACTAGCTACAGCATCTAAGAATTTCCAAATGTTCCCTAGTCTTGTCTCTAAGCCCTCACCAGAATCTAGCCTTTTTCTAGCCTGCTCCTCCAAATTCTTCCAGCCTACACTCATTGCCCAGCTCCAAAGCCACTTCCACGTTCCAGGTAGTCAATCATCAACTCTTTATACCAATTTTCTGTCTTAGTCTATTTTTTGTTGGTTACAACCGAATGCCTGAAACTGAGTAATTTATAAAGAAAGGAATTTTATATTTTTATAGTTATGGAGAAGTCTGTATTTCTCCATATGAGAAGTCCAGGATTCTCAGTTATGAGAAGTCCAGGATCAAGAGGCTGCATCTGGTGAGAGCCTTCTTGCTGGGGGGGACTTTGCAGAGCCCTGAAGTGGCACGCAGGGTGTCACATGGCGAGGGGGCTGAGCATGTGAGCCCAGGACTCTCTTCCTCTTCTTACAAAGCCACCAGCCCCACTCCCATGATAACCTATTAATCCATTAATCCATGAATAGATTAATCTGTTCATGAGGGCAGAGGCCTCATGCCCCAATTCCCTCTTGAAGGCCCCACCTCTCAACGCTACCACATCGGGGATTAAATGTCAACGTGAGTTTTAAAGAGGATAAATATTCAAACCATAGCACACAGGAGTCCAAGGCTGCCTGACAGACCCACTGCAGCCCAAGAGCTTCCTAGATTGGAGGATACGATGTGAATGAAAAAAAGACTGGAGTGAAGGGGCCAACCAGAAGCCAGGTGCGCTAGAGACCTGGGTCTGTGCTTCCGACGCACTGTGTGATCTTGGGTGTCACAGCCCCTCTCCGAGCCACACTTTCCTCACCTTTAAAGACCCTCTGCCTCCCACACACAGTTTGTGGGCACCTGAGTCCACTGTACCCACAAACGTTTTGTAAACCACCATCCAGATGTTACAATGTAATGACCGACAGCAGTCAATGTCCTTTGAACAGCAGGCAGCAGGGCTGGGGTGTGGTGTGTAAGAGCAGGGGCTGTGGAGATGGCTAGGCTGGAGTTCAGTTCTCAGCTTTGCACATCTAACTGTGAAACCCTGAACAAGTTCTGGAGGGCCTCTGAGCCTCGGCTTCCTCATCTATGAAATGAGGCCTTTTCCTATGGACACTAAGGATTAAATGAGTCCAGGGGCTCAAAACGTGGAGTATTGGGCCCAGCACATGGTCAACTCTCTAGAGAGATTCCCACTGTTACTCCCCACCCTCTGCAGGGGTGCCTGGGAAGGGCCTTACCCGTCAGTGAATAGATGAGGCAGCAGGCCAGCAGGGACAGCACGGAGACCAGGGCCCAGTGGGAGAGGCTCCGCTTGTGCATGCTACAGTAGATGGAGACAGCAGCTTCGTGACACTGCAAGACAGAGGGCGGCTCAGCAGGACGCTGGCATCCCCCGGAACCAGAGATGCGAAAAAGCACTCATATCCAAAAGGTGGGAAATGTGGGATAGGATGAGGTTTCTCTTCAAATAGCCTGATCAATCCTTTATTCTTTAATTCACAGTACACCCCCACCCCTTTTCCCTTTTTTTCTTCCTTCCTACCTTTGTTACATGTCCAAACACGCCACAGTACCAGGTGTTATCAATACCAGCTCACATTCCTTTTTCTTTAAAAAAAAAAAAAAAAAAACTAGCTCTCTAGCTCATTACAAACACCCCTTCCCCTTTCCCCTCTCCTCCTTACCTGCCCACCTTATCTCAAAAAAGTTCCAATGTCTAACCAACCGAGACTGGTTTAGATTGTGCGGCTCAACCCCAGCCAGCGGGAAAAGCGTACAGGGGCAGGACTTGCATCAGGAAGAAAGGCCCTCGTACCCCTTTGTTCAGGTGTGCTCTCATGGCAATTGGCCCTCTGCACAAAAGTAAAATCACTTTGCTAAGAATCCTTTAAGTGTTCAATTTCGTTAAGATTTTGAGCGTTATTCCCAACAGACACAACCCACGTGCCCACCAAGAGCAGAGGGCGTAAATCAGTGGCAGGATGCTAACACACAGAGCATGACATGGCTCTGACAAAGAACCGTGCACCTCAACACAGAAGAATCTCGCAGACAGAACGTTGAACACAAGAAGCCAGATAGGGGCCGGGCGCGGTGGCTCACACCTGTCATCCCAGCACTTTGGGAGGCCAAAGGGTGCAGATCACTTGAGGTCAGGAGTTCGAGACCAGCCTGGCCAACATGGCAAAACTCCATCTCTAAAAGTACAAAAATTAAGCCGGGCATGGTGGTGAGCACCTGTAATCCCAGCTACTCGGGAGTCTGAGGCAGGTGAATTGCGGGAATCTAGGAGGCAGAGGTTGCAGTGAGCCAAGATCGTGCACTGCACTCCAGCCTGAAAGACAGAGACTCTGTCTCACAAGAAAAAGCAGCCAGACAGCAGAGAATGTTTCCGTTAATGGATGCAAAGTTCAAGTTACAAGATGAACGATTCTACACCAGGGTTTCTCAGCCTTGGCACAACTGATGACCAGTGTGGGATAACTCCTGGCAGCCGCCCTGTGTGATGCTTGGGGCGGGGGGATGTTGTGCAGTGTCCCTGGCCGGGACCTACTAGATGCCAGTAGCAGCCCTCCTTCCCCAAGTTGTGACAACCCAAAATGTCTCCAGACATGGCCAAATGTTCCCTGGGGGTATAACCAACCCACATGAACCCGTGCTAGAAGGCAGGATGGTGGTTTGGGTAGGGTGGGTGCTAGTGACTAGAAAAGGTCATGAAGGGGGTCCTGGGGGCTTGACCATGTCACGTGGGTGCACACATACTTAGAATCTACATACTGTATATGTAACATGCTATATTGGGGTTAGATTTTTTTTTGGTAGACATGGGTTCTTACTGCATTGTCCAGGCTGGTCTCAAACTCCTGAGCTCAAGCAACCCTCCTGCCTTGGCCTCCCTAATTGCTGAGATTTCAGGTGTGAGCCACCATGCCCAACAGGGATAAGAATTTTAAATTCAGGAGGGAGCGGTAGCTCATGCCTGTAATCTCAGCACTTCGGATATGCCAAGGTGGGTGGATCACCTGAGGTCTGGATTTGGAAACCAGCCTGTCCAACAAGGTGAAATCCCATCTCTACTAAAAGTATAAAAATTAGGTGTGGTGGCACACGCCTGTAATCCCAGCTATTTGGGAGGCTAAGGCAGGAGAGTAGCTGGAGCCTGGGAGGCAGAGTCTCACTCTGTCACCCAGAATGGAATGAAGTGGTGCCATCTTGGCTCACCGCAACCTCCGCCTCCTGAGTCCTCAAAAGACTCTCCTGCCTCAGCCTCCGGAGTAGCTGGGATTACAGGCAGGCCCAGCTAAGTTTTTATACTTTTGGTAGAGACAGGGTTTCACCATGTTGTCCAGGCTGGTCTCATACTCCTGACCTCAAGTGATCCTCCCACCTCAGCCTCCCAAAGTGCTGGGATTACAGGCGTGAGCCACCAAGCCCAGCGCAATGATTTTTGTTTAATGCACGACATACACAGTCAATGCCAACAGCCCATGAGTCACGTGGATTCATTTCTTTGGGTGGGTTGTGGACACTGGTGATTCATGAACAGCCAAGGGAACATTGATGTACAGCCAGGGCTGCGCGGGGAGGCTCTGCTCTGTCCAGACACGAGGGGCAGGGAGGCTGCTCTGTCCAGACACGAGGGGCAGGGAGGCTGCTCTGTCCAGACACGAGGGGCAGGGAGGCT